GTTCTTCGTTCACCAGATACACCTCATATATTTCATGATCGTGATTTTATTTATATGCTAAGAGAATTAAGATTTGAATTGATGAATTTCAATGAAGTTGAAGAAACCATTATTAAAGAAATAACGCCAAGAAGTTGATTAAGAGCGTTAGAAAATAATTTTAATGGAGTTCGAGCAGAAGAATTTGGTAAATTAGTCGATAATTTTGCTACAGCTGTTGGAGAACAATGTTCTGAATTTCAATCACTACTTACTGAAAAGCAACAATTTCAACGTAATGTTCCAACAATATTACGTAATTCGATGAAGTTAGCTCCAATACGTCGTCGTCTTTATGGTAGATACAAATTAATTATTGATGAATCTGAAGATGAAAGTGCTGTTCGTCTTCTCTTTCAAACTGGTATTCTCAATTCTGATCCTAATCAAACTGCAGTTTTTCGTATGTCTGATTTTCCTGATGATATCGATAATGAATTACGAAATGTTGAAATATTATCAACAATTAAATTATGTATGGAAACTGGAAGAACAATTTTAATGATAAATACAGGTCGTATTCATGGCTCACTCTATGATGTTTTCAATCAGAATTTTTCCATTATGTCTACTGAAGATAGTAGAAAGATCTTTTCTAAAGTAGCTATTGGTCCGAAAACAATCGATGTTGTTGTACATGAAGATTTTCAATGTATTGTTCATATAAAACGAAGTGAATTTAAAGATATTCCGGCACCATTTTTAAGTCGTTTTCAAAAATATTCTTTTAGTATATCGGACTTTTATTCTCTTCAATTAAGAGATATTCCCATTGAAGAACAAAAACTAATGAAGGAGGTAGAAACCAAAGCTCGATCATTTATTAATCACTTTGGAAAAGAATATTTCTATGGATTTAATAACGAAACATTATATTCATGTCTTTTATCATTAATTAAAAGATATGCTCAAGACGAACCTTATCTATCAAATGTTCATGAAAATTATAATCAATTAACGATTCAATCGAAATCATTCATTGAACAAGATATAAATGATAAAAAACAATGCTTTCTTTTTTACATTATATCGAAATTTTTACAATTAGCTTCGCCTGAATCAATGATTTTTAAATTACCAATATTTGAAGAAAGTACAACTCGATTATTGTGTCAACATTATTTTTATCAACAAGAACATTTTAACATTGAAAATTTTCTTTATCAATTGATATCCACACCAACATCAGCTATTAGTGATAATGAATTATTAACAATGAACGATAATGTTGAGCGAAAACCCAGTAATATTAATGTTACAAAAAAACTAATGATATTGACTCGAACATCATCATCTGTTATAAGTTTAAACAAACAATCAAAAAATGATTTATTCCTTAAAAATGATAGACTTGATATAATGACACATATTAGCGACAATGTCGACATTATTAATCTTGTAAGTCATTTAAACAATAGTGCTTGTACTAAGATACCTTTCGGAATGGAAATAGTAACTGTTGTGAATCCAGAAGTTTTTCTTTGTTATTAGTTTAGATTAGACTCGTACGTGAAATTTCGCTCTTTTCTGGATCCGTATTTCTCCGAATGGGGACAATTAGTAGAAAAGCTAACTGTATTATAAGTTTTCTTTTGCGTGCAGTCAGTCAATAGAGAAAACACTGATCTTCCACTGTCTCAGGCACACAGAGGATGCTAACTAGTGATACGAATGATTTAGGATCTGAGGTCGATCGTTTAGGATGGCAAAAAGAAATGCATATTAGGAATCTGGTTTTCTATTGAAAAAAAAATAACAATGATCGGTGTATCAAAATATTTTTGTTATTATCAATAGCGAAATAATATTCTTCTTTTTCTAAACTAAACTATCAATAACAATCAATAAATTTTCGTTATGTGATCAAATGGAGTCGAATACATTTATGTTTTCATCGGTTTTATTTTTCAATGGTAAATCATACATATAATATAACAACACACGAATCAATGTATTATCGATGTACCGACCGGCTCAATTTGAGCACACCCAAACAACGAACAAAAATACGTTTTGTGACTATAATCCCTCTTCTTCCTTCAAAAGTGTATATTCGCCCCTTTCCAGACATAGATAATGACTTCCCAGGTGAATGTATCCGACGGATAAAACCTATTTTATTAATTGGGTTCCAATTAGCATCTGGTGGCATTGCTAGGATCGGTCAAAAAGTCACGTCAGATTCCGTCAAATTCCTACAGTAGAATCCGATAAAAATACAATACTAAGGATCCGAATGTCAATTCGTTTCCCAGATTTCGATATGATATCATCGGTTTTATAAAAATCCTATACAATCCCATCGGATCCGATTATCGGAATGATTCATCTGGATTTTTTCGAAATGAACTAGTTCCTCACGAGTAATTCTTGATACGTTGATAGGCAGAAATCAAATGCTCTTCTTTTTTATAAATCGCTTCTACAAATGAGATTTCAGTATTTATGAGTCTTTCTAACGCATTAGCGAAACAAACGTGAGAACGCACTACAAATTATTGAATTTAGCTTGCAGTGTCGAAGCTCTGGAAATCAAACGTGAATCATTCTTTCACTTTTCCACTCAGAATATTTTCCTTGGCACTCGCTCTGATTTTATTCGATTGGTTATATTCTTGATACTGTCTAAAAGTGATCTGGTTTTCTAAGCATGAACAAAAAGAAAATCGTACACATCTACATTGTCTCCAAAAATAATTCAATACAAAAAATCTTTTTGAGCATACTAGAAGCCATGACGTTTCAAGCACATCATTTTTCATTAATCTATGTGTTACATTTATTATTTCGAACATTCGAATAAAAATATGAATTGTTTTTTACAGGCAATTATTGAGAATTCCATCGAATTACACGAACAAGTTCGAGCTTTTGAACAATCAAATGATAAATCTATTCTTATTATTGTTATTGATGGTCGTATTAATCAACAACGTATGCATATTCCATTCGTTCGACAATTGCTCGATAAAACTGACCTATCATGTAATCAAACACCTGATAAACCATCAAAATTTTTCATTATTTTAATACATTCATCTGGACAAGAACTTAATTATAAATCATCTTTTCCATCAATATTTTTACATGATTGGGATTATTGGTTTCTTGATACTTCAACGCCTGGTAGTGCATTTCATTTACAAAAAATGTTACAAATCTTTACTTCAAAAATCGGAATAACTCATCAAAAAGAAGTTTTAGATAATTCTTTGTGCGATTTAAATATACTTTTCGATGATTGTCTATTTGATTTTGTTTCTCGTTTACAAATTAATAGTCTTAAACTAGCCGATGATATGTTTAATAATCGAAATGCTTATGAATTCTATCAACGTCAAACATCAAATTATCGACGTGTACAATGTTTAAAAGCTATTTTTCAACAACTCAATGAATTACAAAAACATATCATATCATGTTATCATGAAAATATTTCAATGAAAAAAGATTCATTGCGTAAAAATTGCAATTCAATTTATGATCTTGCAAAAGATACGCTATGTGGAAAACATTTTAATGGTCTAGTCGATTCCTTGCATTCACGAATGAGATTATCATTTACAAGTTTTGTCTCATTTATTTTGAAATTTATTGTTGATGATTATGGATTAGAATCTTTAACTAAATTATCAAATAAAAATGATGATTATGGTAAATTACTAGAATTAATTGATTATTCATCATTTTCTCTTGACAATGAAAATCAAACTACTCCTATGATGCAAAGAATATTAACATTGAATGATCATTATGCTTGTATTCCTCAAACGCCACTATTCTATTTATTTCGACAACGCATCAAGAATTTAGCAGATGAAATCAAATCTAGATTAGCGGATCAACAAAATCAACTAAATGATTCGTTAGTCTTTGTTTAATATTTAAAACAAATATCGTTCAAACAAGAACTTGAAAACTGAAAAGTGTAGTAGAATTCGTTGGGATACTCTTAAGGAGAGATCTTCAGATTCGATCGACTGAATGCGTTAATCATTGAGGCACAATCTGAATTAACACTATCAATTAATGATACGACTCGATATGTCGATTTCATGATGAATGATAATATCCTGCTCACTATCTTTTATTCCTTCTTTCGCCTTGTCTTACTTCTCTCTCCTATGTAAGCTTGTTTTCCATCTAAAATGAACAGAACTGCAGTGACATACTAGTCACCATCTTATACGAAGGATAGCAATAATGCTACTCATCAGTTATTCACTGTTGATCAACAATAAATCAGTAACTATCACATATCACTAGAATCTTAATAAAAAATATAAATTACCTTCTAATAGGAGGGGCTGCAGAATGTCTATCAAACAGAATTCAGAATTTAAAAAGTCCAATCGATAAACAACGGATTACTTCACTCAGTTAAACTCCTACTCGAAAATACTGTACTACGCAATACCCTAGCCTCGCACCCCGTCAAACAAACAGATTTCTCTAACGAATTCAAAAATTACAGCAGAATTTTGGCAGAATTCAATTTCTAATTGCAGACGATACACAACATCATCAGAAGTTAATACACAGTCACCACCATTCTCTATCAATGAATTCACAAAAACTAGCAGAATTCAAACAGAATTCAGTCACCAGTAACAGAATACAAGCTGTGAATACGTACATTATGCATGTCTATCGCAGCCAGGAGATAATTTCTAGTGAAGAATTAAACCAGATTTCTGCTTATATAGACTCGATCAGAATATATGTGGCCATTGAGAAGGCAGAATTCTAAGCAGAATTTAAAGCGACGAGAATGGAATAAGTTGTCTTTCATAACACAGAATTCTACAAAGTTCTACAGAATTCTAAGCAGAATTCAAACAGGTCACAATGTAATACGTTGACTTTGCTAACACAGAATTCTAGGCAAAATATAAGTTGACAGAGAAAAGGATAGTACTATCCTTTGATGGCTACCTCATCTAACGTTTATGTTGTGGGACATAGAATTCTGTTGAGTGATAACCAACTCGTTGAAAAAAAAATGCATAAGTCCACAGAATTCTGCTTGGTAAGAATTCTGCAACTGCTGCCACAGTTATTTCACGTCCTGCATATTCCAACTCAAATCGAGAATCACTTCGTCTTTCATCATTTTTTGGTCTAGGACTGATATATCGAACTCCTGTTATCAATACAAGCTCTTCTGACCCTCGTGTACTAATTATGCACTAATAAAACTATAGGTTATTTGTACAGGACTAGCACTTTCACAAATTCTTCTCAACCGATCAAATACTTTTCTAAATGTTTAGAAGTACAAGATGATCTTTATTTTGATAACTTTGATTCACAAGCACCTGCACCACCACCATCAACAACCATGCGTAATAATTTGTACAGTGATAAAAACGAATCGGATAATACACGAGAACAATTTCGTAATCAATTGATTCAATCGATTACGAACGATAAAATCTTAAGCAAAATTATTTCAGCATCGATTCTACAATCATATACGAATGATTTAATTCGAATTCTTTCGACAATTATTGAAAAAAATTTTCATGATGCTCAAAAACAATGTCAAAAAACAATTGATTTTGTTTGTCGCTGGTTATTATTAGTTGATGAAGATGAACAAGTATCATTAAATTCTTCATTTAATCGTCATATTTGGCAACTTGCTCATGTTTATACATCAATTGAATATGATGAAAATGATCTTCTGTCATTATATTCTGCTTGTCGAATAGCAGAAGATCTTGATCCCAATCAATCATTTTACCAAGATCTATTAGCAGAAGAAAATACTTCACGTTCAAAAGTTCGAGAAAATTTATTTCAATTAATGTTTTGTCGTTTATGGATTAATCTTTGTCATCTATGTGAAACAAACGAAGATACTAAAAAGTGGATTCAAAGTTATACATTGATATCGAAATATTATCCATCAGATAAAGTTTTACAACGACAAGAATTCGTTCAAATGAAAGTTAAAATTGAATTTATGAGTTTAGTATATTTAATATTACTCAATGAAAAAACACCACAACCAATTAAACTTATTCAACAATTATTAAATGATACATCACTTATACCAGATGGTGTTGATGGTCGTCATAGGAATTTGGAAGGATCTAGTTGTCTACAACTCCTATCTACTATTATTCAAACAATCGATCAATATTTTAAAGAGAATAATGCTAATAATCGTACATTGATGATGGATATTCAACAATGGATCCTTGCAACACTAAAAGTATCGAAAGGATCGTCATATCAAGAAATTATTTCTCTATTGAAATTTTTAAATCAATCAACATGTCATTTATCATTACCAATGAAACAATTACTTTTTGATGAATTAATTAAGATTTTAATTGAAATTAGTCAACAAAAACGTCTGAATGTTCCTCAACAACAATTTACTGATGCTTGGGATCGTATTTCGTTTTTATCTGTGATGACGGAATGTATAGACAATGAAACTCTAGAAAATTATCAAATACCCTATCATATATCTGTTATTAATAATGCAAATCAAAATCATATGTTAATGGATTTACTATTTTTCCATCTTCGACGACTAATAAATAATGAACAAATTCGGCTAAGTTTTATTAATAAAATTCTTCTTTCCAATTTACCACGGATTAATAATGCAAATCGACTTTCTATTGCCGACAAAGTATTCAAACAATTAAAAGACTATTTTACTTTACTAACTACAGCTTTACTATTATGTCAACCTGAGTTAGATAATGAAGACCAACAAAAAATCAATCAGATTATTAGAACTGCTATCGATCAATACTTAATGATTCCTACACCTTTCGCTCAACTAAGCAAAAATCTTGAGCTTTTCTGTTCAGTTATAGTTACGAAGAAATCATGGGATTTTCTTCTTGATCTACTTAAATCAGAACGTATTCAGCATGTAAATGCTACATGGGCTGATGCATTACATGATCTATTCACAGGAAAATGCATTACTCGACGAAGGAAACATATACACCTTTGTCATCAAGTGCAATTCACATTAACAACTGATAATAATGAATCCATTTTTCCGGCATTACACGTGCCATATGATGAATTAAATCAATTAATTAGTGAATGTGTGGAAAATACTGATGTTGAAAAACGTTGGATACCTTTAACGGATTGGATAACATCGAAATTAAATTCAAATCCACCACTTGTCAGTGCTACTGAAATAAAAGTAATGTTATTATTAAATATTTACTATGTTTATTATTGTAATGCTCAATTAAATTCTCTTGATAATCTATTAACCATTATCGAAGATAAACTACAACTATGTAATGAAGAACGACGAGTATTTCGTGCTCTTCTACAACCTGAACAACATATGATTCGATATCCAAATGAAATTAATGTTAAAGATAACAATTATCTTAATGATTTATTTAAAATTGATTTTCAAGATAATGAACAGTTACCCATTCGTCATACACTTGTTAACCTTCTAGCGATGATCTTACTTGGTGGAAAAGAAAATACTCTTTGGATGTTTGCATTCGAACCATTGAAACTCGAAGAAACTCACGATAAGTTTTAATTCATACGCAGATACTGATCTTTCAGATATTAAATGTTGTATTCTATGATAGGTTTTGCATCGACTGCTACAAGCCCTATACAGCGTAATGGTGTTCATTACGACTGTGGATGTGTGTTGTCTGAGAAAGGCGAATTAGAACGACTTTACGGAGGCAGTGAATTCACTATTCCAGCGGTTTATATCGTCTTTTTCGCTACGTTCGGCGCTATGGTAAGTCTTCTGAATGATAAGATCCATTTTAAGTATCGAATCTTCATCTTTTGTATTAAACAGGTATGGCATTTATTGTTATATGAATCATCTGTAGACAATCTCTATCATTCTATTCTTGCTAAACATGCGGTTAATCCTACAGCAAATTTGGCAGGTATAACTAAAGATAGTATTCGAGCGAGAACATGTTATTTTGTTTGTACGCGCTTGTTATCAACAAATATTTTTCTCCGATTACAANTGAAAGTGTTCTGAATTATGTATTTGGTCATATTTTCAAAAATAAACATTGATTTGAAATTATAAATATTTTTAGTTTTTAAAAAAAATCCCGGACTCAAAGGGTTAAACAGGTATGGCATTTATTGTTATATGAATCGTCTGTAGACAATCTCTATCATTCTATTCTTGCTAAACATGCGGTTAATCCTACAGCAAATTTGGCAGGTATAACTAAAGATAGTATTCGCGCGAGAACATGTTATTTTGTTTGTACGCGCTTGTTATCAACAAATATTTTTCTCCGATTACAATTGAATCAAGATGATGCCTGTCTTTTATTTAATCATTGTTTTGAATTATTTGCTCAACACACTCGTCAACTAGATCAAAATCCATGGATTAAACCATTATATAAATCAAATACTGAGAAACTTGAAGCTGAAAAAGAATTTCAAAATAAAATTTTCTATCCTACAAATAAAAAATTGGCTGATTATAAACAAATAATTAATACATTACAATCACAATCTGAACCACAGACTAAATTACTAGATTACGCATCTAAAATGTCTATTATAATTGAAGTCATTAATTTTAAGATGGAATTATGCAATCCTGAATCGAGTCGATTACCTTCAATAATTTTACGACGATTACTTGACTCATTCGAATTTTTGAAAATGACTCGATATATTTATGCTTTAAGTCAATTTCATTTTCTTATACATCGAACTTTTACTCGATTAATTGAACAAAATGAATTTCATACAATTACATTGAAAGAATTATACGAACGGGCTTATCAATCATTAAATCGTTTACGTCGACCAAATCAACAAGATAAATATTATAAAATTATTGAAAAGGGTATCGAACCTGTTAATGCTTATCATTCATTCGCTAATGGACAGATACGACCAGGCGCCCGTGATATTACTCAACGTTTTGAAACTATTTCAATAGATACACCCATAAGCTATCTAGTTGAAACAGACAGTTATGATGAAGGTGATATCATAATGCGTATACTAAGGTAAGTCTCATCAAATCTTGTCGTTCTATTGGAATTGATATATATATATACTTTCTTGAGAGGAACATTGAAGGCTATTAGTCAATTGAAAATTCCTACTCTTATTAGGGATCTTTCAACTTTGAATGAGCACATAAGACTCTTGTATAAATGTTATTTATTTGTGTTCGTATCTCCCTTGTCGATAGATATCAGAGCATCTATATTAACAATTGAAAAAAGACTCATGCTATTATGTATTCCTTCTCGAGTTATTTCACATAACGGTAGATTTCATAATCATCATAGTATCGTGAAAGGTTCAACTCAGTACTGTAATATTTTCTTAAGAAATCAGATTTCTGATAAAATAGGATATTTTGAAGACTTGCATGAAAAAGTAGTGATCTTTATACAAATGCGTTATCTTAAAATAAAAATATTCGTGAAATCTGTTATTCACAAAAATTTATTATTGTGGTTTTTCATTACTGCTGGTGTAAGTGTTGGAAGAGACAACAGTCACACTCTTTTTGCCCATTTGTTTTTGTCATTGTTGGGTTCGCTGAATTTTATGAATACGATAAATGTTCAATAGATTAAATGAACAATATGATGATGTCTCATCAATGATCATTGTATCTTTGGATGCGTATTATAACTGTTGTGCTCCCTCTTAGTCCATTTATTATAGTTAGCAATAAATCCTCTATGTAAACAAGTTAAATCTCCGATGAGGGTGTGCACATAACAGGTAATTTTTCAAGGATGCGTTCCACACGACGTTTTCGATACATAATTAATAGTTGACTTATGAAACAAATTTAAGTTCGAAGAAAGAGAACGAGTTGAATACATTCTCTTGTAAAGTTGTGTCTCATTGAAATAAATGTCGATAAGACAATATCTAACGAATAAATATTTCAATTTAGTGTTCTTGTTAATCACCATAATAATCTTCTCGGTTTACTCGGAACAGAAATCGAACAAAACGGTGATACTCTCGGTTTAGGTCCATTGAAAGATATTATTAAAGAATTATTAGAACGAGAAATATCTATTTTACAAATAGTTCATGAACATATGGGTATTATTACATTGAATCAAGAAGGTTGTCAATGGATTGAAAAATTATCTTGTGCTAGTCTCGAAAATGAAAAATATTATTTTCTGAAATTGAATACACCATTAAAATTTAATTTTCTCTATGTTCAATCGAACCTTATTCGAACTTATCTTCTTTATTGTCGTATTAACTATCAACATATCAAAGGAAAATATCAATGTTATATTCAACGAAAAGGTCAAGGTACCACAAATGGCGTTGAAATCGTTGATGATATCGATATGGATTCTCTTAATCGATTAGCCGATGAATGGAATCATTTGGAACAAAAGAGTCTCGGTCAACTTCAAAATGAATTGAATTTTCTTCAACGAATTATGGACATTTTAAAAGATGCTTCGGAAGATCATTCAACAGAAAACCTTTTAGAATTTATTCGAACTACTAATTATGATGATCGATTTGCTGAACAATTCGAGCAACATCAAATGAAAGATTTTTCTTTATCACAAATAAAACTTGTCTGTCGATTATATGAACAATCAATCAATCAATATCAACATGCATTTATCAATGTATCTCAGTTAATTCGTGTTCCTCTGGATAAAACACACAACGATCAACTAGATCGTATGTTAAAATTATCGTTCATTCCTTCGAATGATGAAATTAAAAAAGAAGAATTTCAAGATAGAATTGAAAAGATAACAGAATTTTTAAACGATGTGAAGAATGAAGAACGTTTCATGGAGACTGAATGGACTAAATCGTTTTCGGAGACATGTGCTATTTTATGTATTGAAAGTCCAATCATACAATTCATACCTATGGAAATCAAATGTGAGAATTATGTTCCATTATGTCTCAAATTCATTGAAATACGATCTCAATTACAAGAACGTATGATTAATATTGAAGAAAAAACAGTCAAACTTTGGAGTGCTCGTTTCGATATTCCAGATGCAGATCGATCAAAGGAAAATAGTTTTCTTATATTCCGAAATAAAGACGATGATTTCGTCGATTTCAATGCAAATTCGAGACCTCCACTAGACCGACAGCAATCTCTTATTGTAGACACAATAGGTACCTCTACAAATTCAATCGATTGGTGGCAAATAGTTGATTTGCCAAATGTTCCTGTCGAGCCAGCGAAACCTGCAAATGTTCCATCGGAAACAGTCTATGAAGAAACAATCCATTATACACCTATATTTAAATTGAAGATAAAATCAATATCATTACCACCATCAGCCTTATTTGAAAGTAGTCAAACACAACTAGAACAATTAAAATCGAAATCGTCCAATTCGCGTTTCGCTATTACATTTAAAGATGGCAAACAATTAAAATATCACTGCAAACCTGAAAAATTCTATATACAATTGAAAAAAGCATTCGATGAGAAAAAAATATGAAATGAATAAGATTTGTTTTATTGATCCAAATCAAGTATTACTTGATTTTATGAAAGTAAATGTAAATGATTCATTGCCCATTATAGAATCCGAATATCGTGTTATGGAAAAAGACCTATTAATTCGTATCATATTAGAATTTGAAAATAATCAATTGGAATATTTTGCTACAACAGAAGCCAAACTTACTTCAATTCTTAGTCGTTTTATTCTTGATCGACAATTGAAATCCACACTACCGAAAAATTATTTTAGTGTATTTGATTCTCTTGGACGCTACATAATTGAAGATTGTCAGATTAATACAATTTATCGATCGGACGAGCAAAGTTCAATTCGTATTCGAATCCTTCAATGCAAACAAGATGCTAATATTTGCTGTGAATTAACGCTTATCGCAAGTCAAGGTAGTTCACTCATTAAGGTCATTGATTAAAATTTTCATGTTTTATTTTTATTATTATTTTAGATGAAACACGAAATCAAAACTTTAATCCGATAACAACTTGGAAAGAAATTAGTTTATGGTCAAAAATTGCTGACATTAAGACAGAAAGTCCAGTTGATAGTTTCTTTTTTTGGAATATAGAACATAAACATATTATTGATGAAAATGAAACAATATCATTTACACTTGGTAAGGCTGAATCTGTTATTGTTGATGTACTCGATACAACAAGTGTCATAGATATAATTCTTTCCTATGATAAAAATATTCAAAATATTCGTATTCTTAGTTCATGTCCAGTTCATAGTATTTTAAACAATACAAAATATCTTGAACAAGTAGGCTTGAAAATATCTCCTCAAGAATGTACGCTTGTTTTTGTATCAAATGAACCAGAAAAACAGATTCTTGAAAAAACGGATATGGAAAGTCTTATTAGTTACTATGCAACACTAACTGATAAACCAGTGCATTTTCAAATATCTATTCTTGTTCAAATTATTCCATATGATAATGGACAAGAAATACCTATACCTATTTCTCATCGAAATATAACAATTAAACAATTATTCGATATGGTTGAAATAAAAGATGATTATAAATATTTAGCATCGTATCAAACAAAAATAATCTTCTCAGAAAATACAATATTATCCGTGATAAATGAAACGAAATTTTTCCTTGCAAAAGAACGTTAGACATGTCTTGTATCTATAAAACAAGCCGAGAATGCACTTATTGAAGTTAATGACGAAAGTATGCAAAATCAACGATATCTCATCATTGCGACTATTGATAATATTTATACACAAAATAAATCTATTGATCAAAATCAATATCTTGCCTATAATCGTGATTTTGTTCCATCACGTAATATGCCATTGAGTTTATTTTTATCGAGTGAAACATCGTCGATTGAATTCAATTTAATCTATCAAAAATTACCAGCAAATGTTACAATCACGAGTGGTGAACAAAAAAGTGCAATAGAATTTCAATGTGAACCAACAATGACTATTAGTCGTGTTCATGAAATTGTTTGTCAATTATGGAAATTAAATAGACAGCTCTATAATGTAACTCTGTTGGATGAATCAACTATGGATCGAGATGAACTATTAAGTGAGATTGGTGAAGCTATGGATGACCTAAAATTGAAATTGATTTCGACTGCTGATGTTAAATGTGCTATTACTTATCAAAATGAAACAATTACGATTTCAGCCACAGATGATACATCTTTATCTTCGATTATGAAAGAGGTCTTAGAAAAACTTTTGATTTCAGTAGATGACATAGAAATGTTTGAATTTCAAATGTTGGACGAATCGGAAAGTTCAATTAATGTTGATCTTGATTCAACCGTCACTGAAATTCGTACAGATTTTAACATTACATCCGATACTCTACCATTTCAATTAGTAAAGAAAGAAGATGAAAATTAATAGCAACAACAATTTGATTTTTTGTGATTTTCAATAATTATTTTTAATGATTTTTTCATAAATACAAATTGCCTTTTTTTTTGATAAAAAATATAATCCATCTTAGATATGGGTGTGAAGCGTGAATGCATTTGACTACCCTGAGAATCAGAGATCTATCCTTTCAACGAGTTGATCATGATAGCTTAAAAATGTAGGTTATTATAATTTTCGCCTTACTTCATCTGATAGAATTTACCATTCAGTGTCTGCGTTGAATTCACAAATTCAACTAATCAACATGTCTCAATATGATTCCTATGTACAGGTATAATCAGAACTCGCCAAGATTTTCTTGAAATACTATCCTAAACACGAAAGAATAGAGCTTTATCAAACATGTAATTTTCAATAGTCTATATTTCAATTGATTGTGTTCACCCATGAAAAAATTCAAAGAAAAACTGTGAATTTAGAATATGAATATTATTGGAATATTGAAAGTCTAGGAGCAGCGAGAGTTGGGTTCGATGTTGATTACTTGAGTATATACAACTAAGTCATATATTACGCGTTGAAATTTTTGAATACTGACAAACAAACTACTAATTGTTAACATTGAAACTCATGAAACAAAAATTTGCAGTCATTGGTTTTTATTGTTGCAACCGATCTCAGTCATTGAAAACAATCTATGAGAAAGAAAATTTCAAAGCCAGCATGGAACGATTTGAAAGCGAACATACACAAATATTCTCCTGTCAGTGCAAAGAACTAAACACATTAGTTTCAATTGCTTCATTAATATAAGATTTGATATGAAAGTAGTGAATACACGATTGCATATCAACTTTACGGAATTTAATAGATTTTTTCCAGTCTTCAATAAATCTTCTTATTTTGTGGATTTTCTTACACGAATATTCTTTAATTGTTTTAAATCTCTATCGAATGCTTTCTAATGAGACTCATAAAGTCTTATTAAGATTCCATGGGAATCGACATTTGCACTATATAAAACATATGCACTTGAATAGTTCGGTATTATTTTATCGAGTGAGACAAGGCTCAAATAATTCAATAGAATATACCAACCTTTCTCGTAACCCTTTGCCAGAAAAAAGGAAGTTTCTTATATTTGTAAATCATCACGAATTAAAAAACAACAGATATTCCATACAGTAAGCTTTTGTTTTCATTTTATTCCCATAATATTTTCATTAACATTTAATACTTTTATTGATCTATAATTTAGCATGTAGTCTTAATCTATGCCGTATATATATATATATATATGTGTGTGTGACAATGTTCATTCAGATCAAAAACTACTTAGCTAAGAACGATGATATTTTTGTGGTTCATATTTTCATTATTGATTGGATCGACAATCACTTGCACATCTATGCCAAGGCGAACGTTAAAAGAAGAGTTTGATCAAACATCAATCATTTTCAGCTGACGTGTTATTGATAAAACATCCTCGAACTTTTCGTATAATAGTCATGAATTCACGATAGAAGTTGAACAAGCGTTCAAAGTAGAATAGTCCAATACTTTTTTCTATTCAATGATTAAAGATAATCACACTGATTAACTTTTACGGTACGCAAGTTGGTGCACATATTAAAGTAACAACATGAGAACTAGAAACCATGTGCAGTATTGGTAAGGTTCTAATTGATTCTCGTTGGCAAATATGGATACATTCATCTGGTATTACTGATTCATGTTCAAGAACGACATCAAATATAAATGAAAATCTATTAGAACTTCAACAACTTGCAAATCGATCTCGTTAATTGACTAAAACATAAAAGTTTTTCTTTTATTCGTCTCTGCCAGCACTATATTTCAACTACAAATATCAATCTCACCATGAGAAAAAGAATTCTTTGTAACAAACTTATTTTCAATCGTAATTAATTTTTTCTTGGCTAATTTTTATAAGATGTTAATTATTATTAAAAATAAAAATCCTTTCGGTGAAAAGTTCAAAATATTATCGAGGATTCCTTTTTTTTTTTATTGACTAGCTACAACATGCAAAATCACAACAGTAACAGTGAAGAAAAACATGTGTC